TTAATTTTAGTTTTTTGTAAGTAAAACTGAGTGTTAAGAATCAATCTGAAATAATGAAATATTTAATAAAAGTAATAATTACAAGTATTTTTTTATCAATAATATTGTTATTTTACATTATTTATGAAGCCTGTATATTTATAATTTAAATCACTACACTGTMTACAGTTCTACACGTATTTGTTTATTGCTATTGTTAAATTATATTATTCAATGTTATTGTCGTCAATATGAAAACGTCACGATCCGTCTAATAGCGGTGGTAACTATTTTTAGCGAAAAAATATTGCCTTTTCTTGGAAATCAGCATCGCGCTGATAACAATAAAAAATAATAATAATAATACTTTTGGTTTTGGTAATTTGTATTTCATTTATTTTTTCATTATTTAATTTGATGTGATTTCAGATTTGTTTATACCCTCATTCCCTCTGTAATATAAAAAAGATCCAGGCACATTCAAATATAAAACTCTGGATCTACCTACATAAATCTACATATTTTTACAAGTGGTTTTAATATTTTAATAATGCATTTTGTAAASAGGTAAAACAACATAATATTATAATTTCACAGCCAAAAGTAAATATTGTCTTACTTTATTAGTAATTATATAATTACACTAGAACCTTATTAATCTGGACTTCAATTAAACAGAAACTTGATAATACATATTATTAGTGTTCCAGAAAAAAAAACCTATAGTTATTTTGTATTATGTAGTTTATAATAATGAGTTCTATGATATTGTATACCAAATAACTTTTATATTTCTTAATACTACGATAAACATTTTTTCTTTATTGAATAGGGAATTTAAATACAAAACATTGGCTCATTTAGTCAGTTCAAWGGCTGTTTTGTATGATCCATCATTTCTTTAGTTCAGACAAATTAGTAGCCAATAAGTTCGGATTAATGAGTTTCTACTATAATATAATATGAATTACTTTCAAATTAACCTTCAATAAAGTTATTAGTTACATTTATTTATTTTACATTATTAGGTGTCTTATAAAATAAACCTTAGTCCATAGCCATTTCATTACCTGTGAGTAAAAATTGGTAAGCCCCTGCGCATCTGACATCGCAGTATAGTAGGCGTAAGAACTAACAAAGTAGAATCAGTGGTCAATAGTGAACGAACCTCTTCGTCTGAATGAACTCTGAACATTGTATATTTTTGCATATCTGCACTATAATATGAAGTAACATAACCCTGTACAATACAAATTTTTTTTAAATTAGAATATTTTTGGGTAAATTAAGGTATTCACTTACCAGCTGATTTCCAATCCAAAGTAAATTTTCATATGTATCAAAACATGTAGCAGTAATTCCATATTGACTGCAATTATCCGTCAGTATTGTTTGAGTTTCTTCATATTCAGACCTTAGTCCATCTAGTTGGCCTGAATACAGGCTAGTATCAATTACTTCTGGATATTCTTCTTCGACATAATTACCGTACACTAAATATGAAAAAATTATAAATTTTTAATGTCTTATACTCTCTATAATTTTCTATAGATTATTTTTGGGAATATATAGTTAAATATAGTGTATTGTTTGAACACAGACTATGTGATGGGGACATTTTTATAGTAAGCACTCCATCAATAGCGTATTTAGGCCTGAATTTTGGGGAAAGGGTGGTTATCACTGCACTCCATGGTCAATTAATCAAGAAAGAAACACTTATAAACTAACCATTAATCAAGTAATACTATTTTTTGAAATCATTATTTGTRTATGTATTAATTTTTCATACCTATAAAATAAATTTGTAAAAATACCCATTATAATTTTATTAATTAATACCTATAAGTTATAAGCAATTACATTATTGGTATGTTATAATAAGACTGTAAATAAATATTTCCCACCTTCTCATCCTTATTTTTAAGTACAAAAACTAGACAACATAAAAAGTTACAAAAAGTATGAAGGTACTCTAAAATAACAAGTGGTAAATAAATGAAAACAATAAT